CCACCACCACCACCCCAATGGATCTGCTTTTTTTCAATGTCAGTAGTGAAGATGAAAATTTGTTTGACACATCACTATGCTAGGAGAGAATCTGATGTGAAGATGTTCCCTCATTATAGTACGTTGAATTTTTACATAAGCAAAATGTTTTTACATACACAATTAAGTTTTCTCCTCTGAACATGTGAAGCCCCTTTTTACTGAAAATATGAAAGCATGTGCTAAATCAGCAAATATGTATATCACATAAACACTGTGGCAAGTTAAATATATTGTTGAATTAAGGTTGACACAAAATTGTTTGCAGCTAACAACATCCGTATTAAACACCATTTTAACAACATTGTCAAAATGAAATGTCTGCTCAGATATAACACTCTTTGACAGATTCTATTACAAGAATACCTTATTCTACCCACAGTTGGCTTTATCCCACATATTCCACAGAAGTGAGCTGGAATCCTGATGCTTCCACCTGAAAATTATATGAAATTTTAGTAGCAATTGTATATTTAAGTGTGAGATAATACACTGTCACCCTTCATCAAAAATTGCGAAATATTCTTTTTTTATCTATATAGTGTTAAATGGACACTTGATTCTTTTAAATAAATGAAACTATACACTGTTTGAATGGTGGTCATATTGGCATTTACTATTAATAAGGCAGCTGTAATAAGTTTCTGAACAGATTTGTATTACAGATATTCCAGCCTAGAAAAGATTCATTACCAATATCACTTCCCATCCCAACAATAGAGCTCCCAGCAGCAATGGCTGCTGCTTCACCTCCTGACGATCCGCCTGGAGTCCGCTGTTTTGACCAAGGGTTTAGAGTTCGTCCAAATATTGGATTTGAGCAGTCAAAGCTAATAAACAACCATAAGGATAAACTTCTACACATAACGTTAACATGAGCCAAATAGCTAGTACCATAGAATAGCAGTGACTGTAACTTATGTAAATAGATACAAATATATTAAGTAATGACACCTTGGAGAACTGAATTAAAAATTGGAAAGTGTACTTATTTCATCAAAATGTGTTTTCACTTACTGTAAGTTGGTTTGAGGGATATTTGTCTTCATAAAGGGAATTGCACCCTGGTACCTGAGGACCTAGAATTAGTAAAATTAAATTTGACTAAATAATTAAATAAAAATTTAACAAAGCAATAAAACCAATTTAGAATTTCACATAATACATTTATCGTTTAAGTCTTAGTTAATTAAGCTTTTCATTTAAAGAAAAATAAAATCAGTGAGTTTCATTTCGGTTTGCATCGTTCTCAATAAATAATACACCCCAGGGCTCAACATTACCTTTTTTCACTCAGTTGCTACTGAACACAAGCAGGCCCAGTAGGTTGGTTGCTGTACCAGTTTTTTTTAATTGCTAGGAAAGGGAGGGGGAAGGGGGGGGGCTTACCAAGCATTCAATGAAATATTTCTTATTTTCTAACTGCTATTCAAGATTCAAAAATAATTCCAAATAAAAGGTTATATGTCAATTTCACTGCTGTTTTTACAAAAAAGAGATTATAGAATCCATAATATACATAAATATTTAAATGCTATCTTAAAATCAACACAAACAACTACTGTGCACTTTTACCAAGTGGAGCCACTGTCATAAAAAGCATTGTAAAAGATACAATAAATGAAAAATATTCAAATGGAATCAGTTGCATAGTCAGACAAATTCTGGTCAAGATTTGGTTGCCTGAGAGGAAAAAGTGGTTTTAGAAGGCAACCGTGCAACCCTGCACCCAGTGTCAAAACATATCTGATGTTACATAAAAAAATCAGGTTCCTTACAAAATATAGAGTGCTTGCCTCTAGTGCAGGAGCTAGGTCATGAGTATGACTTCAATGGCTGGCCGGCCGGGTCATGCCAAAGATTATAAAAAAATGGTACCTTTTGTCTCCTCACTATGCACTCAGCTTATAGAGGATAAAGCAGGGAGTAAAGACCTGGTCATATGGTCGAGCTGGTTTTTGTAAATGACAACTTGTTTTGAAATACATGTACATGCTGCATCGACTGCCAGCACGACAAAGAGCGTAAAGAGAAAGGATTTTCGGTAGCTATAAATATAAACCAGGAAATAGTTCGTAACTAACAACTGAGTCGTACCAATCCACAACTACTGTGCAAAGATGTATCTATTTTTAAATATTTTGACAAATTTTTAGATCTTTATATGTCCATCTGACATGAAATTCCACACATATGACCACATTAATACACCTTTTACACTGGGGTAGCCACTAATCAGTGACAAATGCGAAGACAAAGGTGACATTCTGACAGCTTCTTATCTCAGCTAAAAATCATATACATGTTTTTTAAAACAAGTTGTCTGCAAATCAAGTTCCGTGTCACATTTTCATATCATGTGCCTATTATTTCTACAAGCATTCTCTGCCCAAAATGCATAAAGAAGAAATGTTATCTTACCATGTTGTTTGAAAAACTCCAGCTAAAAATGACCACTCAGCTTCACGTCTTACACCACTTGACGTCACACTTCCGGAACAATTTTGACCAATGCTGATCTCCGCCAGTACCCCTTATTCCAAGTGGCACTGCATGGATTATATGCTCCCCAATGAGATAAGAATGATTAAGGATTGACAAGCTCCATAATTAACACAAAGTTAAAGCCAAGCATTAATTGCAAAAAAGCCAGGGATTATCAGACTTAAACCAAACTCCTACATTGTACAACCCAACTGATATGAGCCGAAGTGTATGAACATAGATAAGTATCTGTGACAGTCTTCTCCATATAGAAATGGTACCTTGACAACCACACAATCTTCTGCCCAAGGGCTGTCAACATATCTGGCCATGCCATGGGTGGTGTCATAGCCCTACATAAAATTTATAGAATGCTATATGGTAAAATGCACATTTTATACAAGAAGGTAGAACAGTTTGTAGTTTAACTATGTACTTCTGTAACTTTTAGTGATATCATATTTATTAACCTCTTCAAATCAAATGCCATGAAAAGCGTATTTGAAGTGTACCCAGGGGCAGATCCAAGTTTATTTGAAAGGGGGGGGGGACTGCAGATGCAAAGCCAACCCCTCCCCCCCCCTTGGTGAAGGTCCCCGAAATATTCTGGTATTTTAGAGGGCGACCAGTGCCATTTGGTACGGTTTAAAACTAAGATTCAGCTAGTCAAAATTCCACTAGTCAGAAATCGAAGGGGGTGTCAGGATCCCCTGCCCCCCTAAATCTGCCACTGTGAAATTATCTTGAAAATTAAATTATTACTGAATCAAATCCACCTTTCAAATCTCTAAAATTCATAATGTAATAAAATTAATATTAATATTAAAAATATTAGATATAATTCAAAGTGGCAGATTAAGGGGGCCTCAGGGGGGGTCTTGACCCTACCCCCTTGGATTTCTGAAAAAAAATCACATCAATGGTCCCCTCTTGAAATTAGAGTTTTGACTAGCTAAATTAGAGTTCTCAACTGTAAAAAAACTGCACCATTTGCCCTGTAAAATACCAAATTGGGGGGGGGGGGCAGGGTCAGCTTTGCATCCACGGACCCCCCCCCCCCTCCTCTCCCCTTCAATTAATCCTGGATCTGCCCCTGTGAAGTAAGACATGTACCTTCACAGTAAAGTAATCTTTCAAAGAAACAGGCACTCCATGTAACATCCCTTTTGGTTCTTCAGATTCATCTAGGGCTAATGCTGCATCCTATATAAAATTGAAAGAAAAACCATATTATCAGAAGTGGTAATAAAATTAATTTGTAAACTGTTGAGTTTTGTCTAAATTTTCTTGAGTAGGTACAATGAGAATATTTGGTTTTTAAATATTCATGGCACAGAATAAATGGATAAGACAATAAAGGTTTTCACAATCAATAAAGTGACAACGAAAGGAATCAAGCAGTAAAAAATTAAAACCATGGCATTGATTTAAATCTGAAAGACTTAAATATTTTTTAACAAACTGATAAGATCTAGGACTGATGAAGATCTAAAATTGTTGCATTAGAAATTGCAATAAACTAAATGAACAAACCAAATCAATTTTTATCAAAGGAATTACATGAAGTTCCTTGTTCTGTCACATTTGTAACATCATCCTTAAACGCCAATTGATGTATAATAAAATAGATATGTACTAGCATACCTCAGCTTCTTCCAAAAATGTTGTGATGAAATTATACTGTTCATTCTGTTCTATTGCCTACAATAGAAAGGGCAATTAAGAATGCAAATTGTAAGTATTTTAATTCTGTTAATGTCATAGTAAATATTATACATGATACAATTGGCTGATCTAACTGAGATTGCTAGTATCATCCTGATCAGCTTCGACGTAATACCAGATTTCTCAAGTTGAAGATAAAAGTTGAATACATCCAAGGTTCAGTGTCTACCTACATGCAACTAAACACATATAGACAATTTAAATCATGTTAATTTTTTTTTTAATAATTAAAATTATAATTAAAATTATAACATAATAATTAATTTAGGCATACAGTATGTACCACAATTGTTCTGTCTCAGACTTGTAGCACAGATATCCCCCCTCAAAAAAAAAAGAAAAGAAAAAAGTCCTTTTCTCCCCAAAAAAGCACAGTCCCTTCCTCAAAAGCAAAGTCACTAACACATATATTCTGGCACTACAATGACATTATTTATTCAAATTAACGGTAACTCAACATTGCTTTAATAAATTAGAGGTCACCTTACCACCTCCACATCCTACTAGGAAGTGTCCAATTCAACTGGCTTCAAAAATCCAAAGGCAATAAAATACAGCAAATAAGACCATGTCTGTACCAATACGGAAGTATTCAAAAATACATTACAAACATGTAAGGGTCTCTGACACAACATAAGGCCGGGTCCCTGACAATAGGAGTGTGAAATGATTCCGAATTATGTCAAATAAGATAAAAGCATACTCCATCACACACCTTTGATTGATATGCATTTAACACATCCACTGCTTTTAGGCGACCGTTCTTCAAACTGGCGACAAGCTCTGATAATGATAACTCAGTAATTGAATCTACCTGCTCTGGGGAAAACTACGAAAATAAAAAAAAAATTGAAATATAGATTATGTGTCAGATCAAAAGACTCTTAATTAAATCAAAATAAAGTCAAACTAGAGGATCAGAGAGGCGATACCGCCTCCGAATATTGTACCACCAGCTGGAGTAAGCGCGATCTTATAGTCCCACACACACAAAAAAAAGGGATACTACCACCAGTCTTGTGCTTGACAAGCTGTAAAAAATGCAATCAACAAGAATTCTCAAAATATGCAAAAAAATATATATAACTAAAAATGGTACAATTAAAGTTCAGTTCATAGTAAGGTAGGTCAAAGGTCAATTTCAAGGTCACACTTAGATTGCCAGTATATGACTTCCTATTCAAGTTCAATAGCAACTATGGACCTATCTCTGCCAGTTTTGGAGATAAAAGGGAATGGAAATTTGCAAAGTTCAATTCATAATGAAAAGTAGGTCAAATGTCAATTTCAAGGTCACATTTAGATTGCCAGTATATGACTTCCTATTCAAGTTCAATAGTAACTATAGACCTATCTCTGCTAGTTTTGGGGATAAAAGGGAACAAAATTTGCAAAGTTCAGTTCATGGTAAAATGTAGGTCAAAGGTCAATTTTAAGGTCACAGTAAATTGACTTTAATGACTTCCTATTCAAGTTCAATAGTAACTATAGACCTATCTCTGCCAGTTTTGGAGATAAAAGGGAACCAAAATTTGCAAAGTTCAATTCATGATGAAAAGTAGGTCAAAGGTCCATTTCAAGGTCACATTTAGATTGCCAGTATATGATTTCCTATTCAACTTCAATAGTAACTATAGACCTATCTCTACCAGTTTTGGAGATATAAGGGACTAAATGTTATAATTTTGGAGTTAAAATAATGTGCCATAAATTTCGTACAGAAAAAATTAATTAAAATAAAGAAAAGATCATTTTGGTCAAAATTCTTGAAATGGGAGGTGCTCTGAAGTTCCAGATGTTCAAATTTGATGAAATAATGTCATTTTTGACCACAAGTTGTCTGCCTCGCCAAGCCTTATGTTTTATTTTTCCGGAGTTCAAAATTTATTATCCATTACCGTACTGCACATTTTGCTTTCACCACCAATATGTACTTTTTGATACAGCGTAACTCGAAAACCGTATGGAATACAAAAAAAATGGNAATACAGCAAATAAGACCATGTCTGTACCAATACGGAAGTATTCAAAAATACATTACAAACATGTAAGGGTCTCTGACACAACATAAGGCCGGGTCCCTGACAATAGGAGTGTGAAATGATTCCGAATTATGTCAAATAAGATAAAAGCATACTCCATCACACACCTTTGATTGATATGCATTTAACACATCCACTGCTTTTAGGCGACCGTTCTTCAAACTGGCGACAAGCTCTGATAATGATAACTCAGTAATTGAATCTACCTGCTCTGGGGAAAACTACGAAAATAAAAAAAAAATTGAAATATAGATTATGTGTCAGATCAAAAGACTCTTAATTAAATCAAAATAAAGTCAAACTAGAGGATCAGAGAGGCGATACCGCCTCCGAATATTGTACCACCAGCTGGAGTAAGCGCGATCTTATAGTCCCACACACACAAAAAAAAGGGATACTACCACCAGTCTTGTGCTTGACAAGCTGTAAAAAATGCAATCAACAAGAATTCTCAAAATATGCAAAAAAATATATATAACTAAAAATGGTACAATTAAAGTTCAGTTCATAGTAAGGTAGGTCAAAGGTCAATTTCAAGGTCACACTTAGATTGCCAGTATATGACTTCCTATTCAAGTTCAATAGCAACTATGGACCTATCTCTGCCAGTTTTGGAGATAAAAGGGAATGGAAATTTGCAAAGTTCAATTCATAATGAAAAGTAGGTCAAATGTCAATTTCAAGGTCACATTTAGATTGCCAGTATATGACTTCCTATTCAAGTTCAATAGTAACTATAGACCTATCTCTGCTAGTTTTGGGGATAAAAGGGAACAAAATTTGCAAAGTTCAGTTCATGGTAAAATGTAGGTCAAAGGTCAATTTTAAGGTCACAGTAAATTGACTTTAATGACTTCCTATTCAAGTTCAATAGTAACTATAGACCTATCTCTGCCAGTTTTGGAGATAAAAGGGAACCAAAATTTGCAAAGTTCAATTCATGATGAAAAGTAGGTCAAAGGTCCATTTCAAGGTCACATTTAGATTGCCAGTATATGATTTCCTATTCAACTTCAATAGTAACTATAGACCTATCTCTACCAGTTTTGGAGATATAAGGGACTAAATGTTATAATTTTGGAGTTAAAATAATGTGCCATAAATTTCGTACAGAAAAAATTAATTAAAATAAAGAAAAGATCATTTTGGTCAAAATTCTTGAAATGGGAGGTGCTCTGAAGTTCCAGATGTTCAAATTTGATGAAATAATGTCATTTTTGACCACAAGTTGTCTGCCTCGCCAAGCCTTATGTTTTATTTTTCCGGAGTTCAAAATTTATTATCCATTACCGTACTGCACATTTTGCTTTCACCACCAATATGTACTTTTTGATACAGCGTAACTCGAAAACCGTATGGAATACAAAAAAAATGGAGACCACTCTCAGTGTTGGGTTTTACATGCTCTACAAAATGCAAAAAAGAATGGGTCTCTAGCTACATTAACGGTTCCCGAATTAGAGACAGTTTTCAGTTTCGGTATCTTATGGCCGCTACTCCCGTGAAAATGCACCGATGGACCCCAAATTCACGGAGATGAAAGATGACCCGAAGGGTAACACTTTCCAATAATATTATTGGTTAAGTCTGTGTGGTGTCTGAATAACAGGGCAAAAAAATTTTTTTTCGTAAAAAATTTCGTTTTTTTTTTGAAAATTTTGGCCCGTTTGACCTTGAAATAAAGGTCAAAGGTCAAATCCAAGGGCATATTTCAAATCTACACATACGACTTTTGGAAAGCCGTCTGTAGAAAATTTCCCCATAATTCCTTCCGTAGGGTAGATAATTAGCATTTAATTATGCCATTTTTGGACAAGGGTGCATTGCAATGAGGGCCACACCTAGACCCCAATACCGACAAAGCCCAAATTTTACGTGGAACGAGTTGAGATTATAGGTGACCTAAATCCAAGAGATGGGTACGGAGGCCCTTACCGTCTAGGAGGAGAAGCGGTAACGGTGACTTGTCGGCGGAGCCGGCGGAGCCGCAGGAGCCGGCGGAACGATCTGGACGGGACTAAAACCATGTGTACCGCCAGCGCTAACGCTGGTGGTACAATAATTAGAGTGAAACCTAACTACATAACGTACTTATTCATTGCATTTTAATTATCTGATGAATTATTTTTATTATATTGCTTTATTGGAAGTAAAAAATATGTTAGATTCTGTTTCTATTATATATCTTCGTAATTAAATTGTGTATCTCACTTAATCAACAAAGAACTGAAAAAAAATCAAGAATTGAAATATATGCCTACTTTTTTCTCCGTTATTCTTTCAGTTACTGTTGATATAGTTTTCTTATATTTGACGCACTGCTTCGCCACTTTGCATCGATTGCTTCTCACTCTTTTTCTCCTGGCATTGCTTTTTATAAAAAAGATTGTTGCTACGGCAATCACTGTTGAACCAATGAGAAGCGCTGAGTGACTACAGCCAAACATAATATCTAAAAGAACGTCGCGCCACATGTTTGCAACTTTTGTGTCTGTGCTACTAGTATCTACATATATATATATATATATTTATTTGAAATTGCAGTCTCATCCGTGCACTATCATGCTATCAAATGAGATAACAGCTATCTTCAAATTATCTGCATTCAATCAACAAAAACGTCGCACCGCACGTTTGCAATTTTTGTATCTAGATGTGTCACTACCAGGGCCTACGTGCCACTACTAGGGCCTACGTGTATTTATTTGAAATTGCAATCTCATCCGTGCGCTACCATGCTGTCACAATGAGAGAAGAGGTATCTTCAAAGTATCTGCATTCAAACCGCTAAGCAGAAAACCTGTCACCAATTTACATGACTGTTTAATAATTTTCGGTTTTAAATTTGATTTACATAACACAACTTCGGCTCATGCGAAGTAGGTTACTAGCAGTTGGCCTGCTGAGTAGATTTGACCTGGTTTGCGTTTGTTTATAGCGGGTGTATGATTTTACGACGGTCAAACTGGTCGATAGACGGATGAATTTAAGGAAATTGATACCTCTGTTGATGGGAAAGCTGGTTGGCTTCACAGTAATGTGCGTTTTGAGGAGATGAGATGTAACATAAAAATTTGAGAGCTGCCGCACCGCGGCTGTTTCGGCAACCGGTTTTCGTTTCCAACTTTTTGCGGCATTTGCTTTCATGCGTTAGCACAGCTAGTACGTATTAGAATCGTCAATTAGAGTGCTGACGCATGCATTTTCGTGCTATATGGTATCTTATTATATTGAAAGTGAATTTAGTTGCATCATGTGCTATCATTTGATTGTATTTGTATTACGAAATTACTGGTATTACGAAATTAAAGGTAGAAGCTAGTGGTTTGAATTGTTCAGTTGCCCCAATTTATGTTAGAAAAATCATTTCAAGCGCGCTCTCATATCCTGCTGGTACCCCCCAACAATAAAAAGAAAGATTTGTTTGACAAAAAATACTGCTTAGAGGCTGAAAAACAATGCAGAAGAGCAAAAAGATTACTCATGAAAGTATAGTTCAAATATTTTCAAAAGTAAATTGAGAAAAGC